AGTTTTGTACAAAGAAATAAAACATTTTAATTGTCAATGTTGGCCGGGCATGGTGGCTCACGCCTGTAATTCTAGCACTCTGGGAGGCCAAGGCGGGCGGATTGCTCGAGGTCAGGAGTTCAAAACCAGCCTGAGCAAGAGCGAGACCCTGTCTCTACTATAAATAGAAAGAAATTAATTGGCCAACTAATAAACAGAAAAAATTAGCCAGGCATGGTGGTGCATGCCTGTAGTCCCAGCTACTTGGGAGGCTGAGGCAGTAGGATCGCTTGAGCCCAGGAGTTTGAGGTTGCTGTGAGCTAGGTTGATGCCATGGCACTCACACTCTAGCCTGGGAAAACAAAGAGGCTCTGTCTCAAAAAAAAAAAAAAATTGTCAATGTTTTTGTTTTAAATTATGGCATGATAAATATTTGATTTACTGATTTTTAAATTTATATATTTATAAACAACAGTAAACGAGTTTTTAATATTTTGACTAAAGTTTTTAAAGATTAAAAAAAATTGTAATTTTTTCCAGTGATAATTAAGACCATTTTGCAGAGGTTTAGCCTGCATGGTTATTTTTACAGAACTGCACTGTCATGCAAAGTGAGGACTGCATGTATTTTACATGTGCAATCTCATTTACCTCTTGAGTTTCTTTTTTTTTCCTCCAGCAAGTTTGCTGCCTCCTTTTCAGTGCTATATGGTGCCTTAAGCCCAGGTTTGCCTCATTTCTAGTAAACAGAGTGCCACCCTTCCTGAATGGGGGCAGTCCCAAAGGGGATATCCTGGTAGTATGGGAAGGCAGGCGTAGGGGTTCGTGTCCAGGGGACCTGTGGAATGACCCTCCTACAGTGTGGTGCTGCCGAACAGCCACACTGATTTGGCATCTCCTTTGGCTGAGTTTCAGAGCAGAGTTTCCAGGGCTGAGATGGTAGTCCTGCCTCCCTTCTTTGTCTCTGGCTGTTGTAGGGGAGCCAGAGGTCATCTCTCCTGCCACCCCCTGCCCTTAGCTCTTAAGTGGGCTCTTTGGCTAGATCTAGGAACCAAATTGACACCAGGCAGATTAACAAGAGAAAAGCATACACATTTTATTCATTTTACATGAACACGGGGATCTTCATAAGAGAATGAAGTTTAAAGAATGGCCAAAGCAAGATGCTTTTATACTTTTTAGACAAAGAACAATAAATCTCAGGAGAAATGATGGGACAAAGGGGATCTCGTTAGAAGCAGTTAATTTCTAGAGGAGTCACGAGGAGATATATGGGGAGATGTAAAACTCGTGGAAGATAAGGGTTATTTGGTAAATATATTTATTCAGGTACATGGCAGCCCTCTCTGCTGATAAGAGCTATTTTCTCACCTTGGTATGGAGATGGAGATTCCTTCCAGAGGAATCTTTATGGCTTTATGCATGCAGGAAGACACAGGTCAGTTAGCCCCCTTTCTGAAGCTACAAATTCTCCAGTATTTTCAATTTGAATTAATCAATATACTAATTTGCTATATTTTGGGATAGCACATCTTTTTCTCCTTCACTGTCCTGTGAAGCAGTGGTTCTCAAACTTTTTGGCACCAGAGACTGGTTTTAGGGAAGACAATTTTTCCATGGACCAGGGTGGGAAGCGGGGGAATGGTTTGGGGATGATTCAAGAGCATTATATTTATTGTGCAGCCAAACCTCTTTGCTAATGATAATCTGTATTTGCAGCTGCTCCCCAGCACTAGCATCACCGCCTCAGCCCCACCTCAGATCATCAGGCATTAGATTCTTACAAGGAGCCCAAACCTAGATCCCTCGCATGCGCAGGTTACAGTAGGGTTCCAGTTCCTATGAGAATCTAATGCCACTACGGATCTGACAGGAGGCGGAGCTCAGGTGGTTATGTGAGTGGGGAACAGCTGCAAATACAGATGAAGCTTTGTCCAAGGCTCACCCCCTGCTGTATGGCTCCATTCCTAATAGACCACAGACTGGTACCAGTCGGCCCAGAGGTTGGGGACCGCAGCTGTGAAGGCCTCACCCTTCAGATACTTTTGATGCTTTCCATGGGTTGAGTCAGAGACTGGGCTCCTGCCTGGGATCCAAGATGGTGGGGAAGCTGGCTGTCCACCTCCATCTCACTTTTTCCAGTGTAGAAACCATGAGCTGGAGGAAAATTTTTCTACACATGCTTGGTACAAAGCAGGTTATGGGGAGAGAAAGTCTAATTCTCTTACCATCTGCTTGGTTTTTCTCTTCTCTGTGGCACTGGGAACTACACATCCTCATATTTGAGTTCACCTACTCTGAATTTCTTGTGCAAGATAATAAGAGCCTTATCATTTAGCCACTGTGAATCAGGTATTCTACTACTTGTGGCAGAAAGCATTTCCAGATGACATATTTTGTATTGCTCCTCCATTCTTGTTTTCAATTGGATCCTTCTTCTGGTCTCAGGCTTTCAAATATCACAGACCAGTTTTTTGTTTTTTTTTTAATTTGAGGATCAACATTAGGTTTTTGACTTGTAATTTTTCCCTTAATCTTATGCTATATAGGCATTAGAAAAAAACTATCATCTAAGCACTAAATGCTCAGAATAAAGTATGGTTCTTTAAATTAAATACTTTGGGTTTTATGAAAAACTCACTGCTTTATTCCAACTTTTCCAGTTTTATTTAAGATTCACAAAAACTTTATAACAGAAACATGAAAGAGTCCACGTTATGTATGACAAAGAAAAATATTAATACATAAATATTCATGGCCTCTTTTCTGTTCCCAGACATCTTCCCTCCCTTTTGAAATTTTCTTTGGACATATTATGAAATTAGGGTAATAATCAGCGAGGGGAAGAAGTTAAGAAAAAATAGTGACATTTTTCTCTTTTTTTCCCCTTATTTTTAAAATTTTTTGTAAAGGTCTTAAACTCCTGACCTCAAGCAATCCTCCCACCTTGGCCTCCCAAAGTTACAGGCATGAGCTGCCATACCTGGTGAAAATTTCTTTTAAAAAGGTAGAGATTTATCTCTTTCAAAAAAGTTTCAATGGAGGAGAAGGTGGAGAAGCATGCTTAGGTTTAAAGGAGTTGGGGTATAAGGCATATTCGAGAAATTGAAACTGATAAAAGATGAGGAAAAAAGAGGTTTAGGAAATTTGATGTACATTGTGTATTTCCCCTACAGTACCTTCATGAGAATCTGAAGTAGGGATTTAAATCTTTCAATTATTTTTTCCTTCTGGACTTGTATCTCTTATTTCTTAAAAATAAATTTCATTGTGCACATTAAAGGTTTACAACATGATGGTATGGGATACATATAGACAGTAACAAGGTTACTATAGTGAAGCAAATTAACATATTCATCATCTCACATAGTTTAGTACCCCACCCCACCCCCTTTTGTGGCAAAAGCAGCTAAAATCTATGCATTTGGCCTGAATCCCATATACAGAACAATTTTATTGCTAATGGACTTGTATCTCTTTGAGTGTGATTCTCTGTAGGATCAAATCACAAGGCAGCTGGGCCTTATTAAGGGTTGCATATGCCTGCTATATGCAAGAGGCAGTATGATATAGTGGTTAGGCCTGGGGGGTGGTTCTGGAATCATAAGCCCTTTGTTTGAATCCTGGCCCCAGTCTTTATCCCAATCCTTTTTCTGTGTGTCCATCAAAAAATTACTTTACTGCTCTGGGCCTCATTTCTCTATCCATGAAAGGGAGATAACAGTACCAACTCACTGGACTGTTGGAAGGATTATGTGACTTAATACATATAAGGTACTTAGGACAGTGCCTGGCTATAGAAAGCCCTCAGTTGTTAGCTAGTAATAAATCTACACATCATCTCTCACCTGCTTAACTCTAACAAACTAAAAACACCTTTCGTGGCTCACCGTTCCTAAACTTCTTGGCATGGCACCACCCCCAAACCTGACCTCGATTCGCCAGGGCAGGCTTAGCTGCGGCCTTCCTCGGAGGGCCGGAGCCCCAGCCCGCGCGCTCCTGGCGCCTCGCCGCAGCTGGCTCGCGGTCCAGGCTCCCTCCCTCGTTCTCAGCATCCTCTCTGCGAATACAGACCTTCCCAGGCCCCTCCCAGCGCTCCCAGCTCTTCGAACCTCCACTTGAGCTGTTCTCAGGTTGGGTGTTGTAACTGCCTCTAGGATCCGACTCGCCAGCGCGTCCTAGATGCTAAAGTAAAGTGGACATAAAGGGAAATGCTGTACCTTCTCCCGAAAACACTAAACGGGAGGATCTGGTGGGGAGGGAGACTTGGTCGGCAGGTAAGGTCCTTCCACCCTAAGACGCCTTGCCCCGGTGCCCGGCTGGCAACGCCGCCGGCGGGTGGGTGGAGTTGCCCTTCCAGGACCCCGCAGACTTCCAACCTGGCCCCGGGCACCCGCGGTCACGTGACGCCCCCGGCACAGCTGGAGGCGGGTCCCCGCCCTCCCCCGGAGCCCGGCGCTGAGGAGGGCGCGGTGCATTGTGGGCAGAGGGGCGGGGGTTGGGAAGATGGCGGCTCCCAGCCTCCTCAACTGGAGGCGGGTTTCCTCCTTCACGGGGCCGGTCCCCCGCGCCCGGCACGGACACCGGGCCGTGGCCATCCGGGAGCTGATGATCATCTTTGGAGGGGGCAACGAGGGCATCGCGGACGAGCTGCACGTCTACAACACCGGTAGGCGCGGCGGCGGCTCGGCGGCCCCGCCTGCGGGAGCCGCGGAGGGGGAGGGGAGGTGAGGCGGCGGCCGCGGCCCTGACAGCTGTCACCGCCCGGTCATTGCTTTCTCGGCGGCGGCGAGCGCGGCGTGGCAGGACGGCACGGGTCCCGCAGTGTCCCGGACGGCAGCTCGGTGTCCCGGGGCCCGCGGGGCAGAACGGACCCCGAGCGGGGCGCCCTGGTCCTCAGGCGGGCGGTCCCAGACGCCCCCGCTCCGGTGCTGCCGGCGGACGTAGCGGGAGAGACCGTTTCCACCCGCCGGGTCTGTTCCCCCGAGGTCTCCCCAGTCCGAGTCCCGAGATCCCTTCCCTGTCAAAAAACAAAACCCATCCCCAACCAAAGCTCCTTCGGGCCTTTCCCGTCTTTGCCTGCCTTCCTTCCTTCCTTAGGAGGAAAAGAATCTAGAGGGGCGAGGAGGGAAAACGCCAGGCCTTCCCGTACTTTCACCCCAGATACAGCCCATATCGAGCAGGTAGCGATGGAAAGTCCCCCCACTGGCAGCCCTGTAAACTGGCCTTGTTTCTGCTTAGTTGGTGTGTGTGTGCCGACGCTCAGCCGTGCAGCGCTCTTCTGGACTGGTCCTCGGAAAGAGGAGGGTCATAACTTGAGCACCACTACGAATCTGAAGTGCCTCTGGCTACGGAGCTCTGGCTCTGAGTACCTCAGTGGAATAGAAAGGAAATTGGCGTTTCATTCTTCCGCACTTGTAAATAAATACTCCAGCTATAACAAGAAATCTCTTTCCTTGTTGTAAGGCTGACTACCGAACTTTGGGTCTACTTCATGACCACTAACTTCTGTTTGACCAAGCAACTCCATCACAGTCATCATTTAAAGGTTAACAAAATAGTGGAGTCGGAAACTTTTATTTTTTCACCCTCTCCTCCTCCCAGTGCCCCGGCATATGAAGCTAAAAAGTTATCGACAGTTTAACATAGTGTAAAATCCCTGGCTGTGGAACACATTAGACTTGGTTTGAATCTTGCTCTGCCAGTTGCCCAGGATCAGCGCTAAAGTTACCAAACCTTTTTAAGTCTCAGATTTTTCAGTTGTAAAATGGAGATGATGATATCTGGTAGGGTTTATGGAAAAATGGAATGACATGGATCAGGGTATTTCAACAGCGGCACTATTGACATTTTGGGCCATGTACTTCTTTGTTGGAAGTACATGGCCCAAAAAGGGGAGAGTCTCTGCTCTCCCCTTATTGCCCTGTACATTGTAAGATGTTTGGCAGCATCCCTGGCCTTTACTCACTAGATGCCAGCTAACCTCCCTCGGATCCCTTGCTTCCCTCTGCCCCCCCCACAATCCCCCTTGCCAGTTGTGACAATTAAAAATGTCACTAGACATTGCCAAATGTCCCCCTGGAGGGCATAATCATCCCCAGTTGAAAACCACTGATATTGATGATATGTATAAAGTACTTACTCATGATATATGATAACCATTGTTTGCTATAATTGGTTTTAATTTTATTTTGGCAACTAGTTACAAATCAGTGGTTCCTACCAGCTGTTAGAGGAGACATCCCTCCAGGCTGTGCTGCCCATGGATTTGTCTGTGATGGTACCAGAATTTTAGTATTTGGGGGAATGGTTGAATATGGAAGATACAGCAATGAGTTATATGAGTTACAAGTAAGTGTATTTAAATTTTATTATTTCAACCTGAGGCTTTAATAATGATATTGCTAATAATTCTTCAAGAGATTGCAAAATATTTCATTAACATAGTTAAAATAGCATGTGCTTCACATTTTATAGCTTCAAAGAAAATGTTTCCACTTCATTTAAAAGCCACAGTTTCTAATGTGAGTCTTTTTCCCCTACCCAGTAACATTTGTAACATCAGTGTATCTGTTACTTAGCATCAATTGTACAAGTTACATGTTTTGTTTTTTGTGTCCTAGTGCAGTAGTTCTTCAGCTTTAGCTTGCAACAGAAGCAGCTGGAGGATTTGTGAAAAGTGCTGGGGCCTGCTCCCAGAGTTTCTGAGTCAGTATTGTCTGCAATGGGGACATGAGCATTTGCATTTCTACCAAGTTCCCAGCTGATGCTGCTGGTTCCCAGACTATACTTTGAAAACCACTGCTTTAGTGTATAGAATTTGTTACTGTCACAGTAATAATTACTTTTTCCCCCTGGCAATACTTACAAAAAAGAAGGATAACAGTTTCATATAACCTTTCTAAATTTGACTAATATCAAACCAGACTCATACCCCCGGTTGACTCTTCTTCCTGATTGGTGCGTATTTCCGCAGGGCAGAGATCATGAGTGTATCTGCTAATTGACAGATGTGTTATACCTATTTACAAGTAACTCATTTCAAAAATAGTTTCAGCTAAAGAAAACACCCATGGCTAGAGAATACGTTTTAGAGATTGATTTGTTAAATGAGCTTTATGTTTATTTAAAGGTTAAAATATTTGGCATTCATGAATTAACTAATTTCAGAAAGAGAGTCTATATTAATTGCATTTAATATTAAAGTTATGTATGATACTTAGTTTTTCATTTGGACAATACTTTAGAACTGTTAGCATTTATTATCATAAGCTTAGTCTGCCATTGTGGAAATCTGTGAGTATAGAAGACTAACCTGAATTTCTATTGGAACATATATTTCAATTCCAGAAATTAGCTGCTTAGTTGTCATTTGTCCCCAGAGTTGTTTATTTGAACTTTCTGATAGGATTCAGATTAAAATATATTGATATGATATTAGATCATTGACAATACAGGAATGCTTTCCTGATCTTGTCTGAGTATATTTATGTTCTTTTTTAGGCAAGTCGTTGGTTATGGAAAAAAGTGAAGCCCCATCCTCCTTGTTCTGGCTTACCTCCTTGTCCTCGCCTGGGACATAGCTTCTCTTTATATGGTAACAAATGCTATTTGTTTGGTGGCCTGGCAAATGAAAGTGAAGATTCAAACAATAATGTTCCCAGGTATGCTAACTTTTTCAGACCAAATCCTTATCTCATGATTTAGATTAGGAACATTTTATTTCTTCCATCTTTAGTTATTAGAAGAGATGAAGCTTAGCCTTCTTCATTTAAACCTAACAATGAACATATTTGTGTGTGTTTGTGTTTCCCGTAGTCCCTGGAGTATACTATTTTCAAAACTATGCCTTTTCTAATTAGATATCATGTTGTTAAATTGATATTAATATAACTGCTTGTATCAATATATTTGTATATATTGAGCCCTAAGGTATTTTAGCTAAGTCACAAATGGCAATGAAAAGTAACAGATGAATTTTTTTTTTTTGAGACAGAGTCTTGCTTTGTTGCCCAAGCTAGAGTGCAGTGGCACCATCATAACTCACTGCAACCTCAAACTTCTGGGCTCATGCATACTCCTGCCTTATCCTCCAGAGTAGCTGGGACTACAGGCAGGCACTACCACACCTGGATAATTTTTCTATTTTTGTAGATACAGGGTCCCACTGTTGCTCAAGCTGGTCTTGAACTCTTGAGTTTAAGTGATCCTCCCATCTCAGTCTCCCAGAGTGCTTGGATTACAGGCATTAGCCACTATGCCGGCCAACAGATGGGTATTTTAAAATTAGGTTTCTCTGGGAATTTGGTGACAAAAATATACTCTAAGATGAAGACTATCATTTCCATGTTTTGTACAAGAAGCTGTTAGAGTGTTTTATATTACCAAATATTTTTAGAATAACTTCCTTCCTCCTTTTTCCATTACAGAATTAACCCACTACCTGGTTTTCTTCACATAGTGGGTTTTTTGTTTGTTTATTTTTGTTTTTGATTTGAGTTCTAATAAACCTTTACAAAACAGCCAGTAGGCAGATTTGATTCACAGGGTATAGTTTGCTGACACAGGTAGTAGATAATGGGGATATCTACATTGCTGACCCCTATTATAGATAATATTGGTTTTGTTTGCAAAGAACCCCTCATTCCTTTGGGGAATTGTCCTGTATATTGTTCTTTATTTTTAAAAAATAAACTTTGTGTATATTTAAAGTATATAGGATAATGTTATAAGATACATACATAGTAAAATAGTTACTATAGTGGTAACATAGCCATCATTTCACATAGTTACTTATTCCTCCCCCAATCCCCCATGAGCAGCTATAGTCTACTCATTTAGTAAAAATCCTGAATACAGTGCACTTTTATTAACTATAATCCTCATATTGTACATTAGATCTTTCAATTTGTTTATCCTACTTATTTGCTACTTTGTATCCTTTGACCTACATTTCCTTCCCTCTACTCCCACCCTGGTAACCACTGTTTATTTCTATATAATATTCACATAGTGTTTTGATCACATTGTCATTATAGCACTCAGGCTTTGGAGATTTAGAGTCCAAAGTGCTGTTTTCTGATTCAAGGCTTACCATGTGTATCCTTTAGAGCAAGTTATCTAAGCCTGTTTCCTTCACTTTGAAATAGGAGTGATTAAATATCTATCTCACAGCATCGTTATGATAGCTAAGTAAGATAATTGATATAATTTTCAAAGGACTTTCAAGTTGCCATAGCATATAGTACACTAGTTGTTATCACCATTATTTTTACCTACATTAGATTGATGGTGGAGTCTTAGCTTTTTTTTTCCCCCAAACTTTTAAAGATAATATATACTGAAACGTCATAGAAAATTTGGAAACTGGAGAAAAGGAAAAAAAATTATCCTACCACAGTAATTCCTATACTTTTGCTTTTAGCATATGTATTTTTAAAATGTTCCCATTAAACAGCTTTTTAAAATAATACTTGTAAAAATTCAAGAAATTAGAAAGTATACAGTGTTTTTACAACATCACTATCAACTATCATAGGCAAATACACATAATTCAATTTGATGTGCATCTTTTGGGACCTTTCTCATGTAACACATTGCATTAGTCAGCTTTTATTAAGTTATTGTGAATAATGGGGCAAGCTTCTCAAGGTTATGCTGCTTGAGGGGGCAAGTAAGTACAAACAAATGCCTTTTTTCAAAGCTAGTTCTGGTCACATTCCATTGGTCAAAGCAAGCCATATGGCCAAAGATAGAGTCATTCATTGCTCCAGAGGTACATACTCTGCTTACTGGGCTAGAAGAGTTGGAAACGTTCATCCGATCCTCCACACAGACATATCTATTTTCTTTTATGTAAGTGAAATCTCTTTCTTTTTTTCTTAGCAACTTTGGGTGTTTGCTTGTTTGTTTATTTTTATTATGTGTTTGTTTTGTGGCTTTTCCCCTGTTAACAATGTCTCCCTATGGCAGTAGATAAAAATTGACCTTATTCTTTTTAAATACTAAAAAGTAGTCTGAATTATGTCAATTATTTAGCCATTCCTCTACTGGTAAGCATTTAAATATTTCCATTTTTCTACTACTTATAGTCTCTGCACTGTGTGAAGATTTTTTCTTTTAAATTTTTTTATTTCAAAATGTTAAGGGGGTACAAATGTTTTTGTTACATGGATAGCTTTTATAATGCTTTAGTCAGGGCTATAAATGTGCCCATCACCCAATTTTACCTGTTAGGTAGGTTTTTACCCCTAAATATTTTTTCGGCATCAATACTTATAAGTGGAATTGAGAAGATCAAAGGGTGTTTACATTTAAAAGTTTGTTAGACACTCCTGAATCAACCTCCAAAGAGAGAGAACCAATTTATGCTCCCAATGACAATGTATAAGAGATTGTCTCAGTGTTCTTAATTTTTATCAAACTAATTTGTGAAATATATTTCATGGGTTTATTTAGCTTGATTAACTATGTTTTTTTGTTTGTTTGTTTGTTTTTTGAGACAGAGTCTCACTTTGTTGCCCAGGCTAGAGTGAGTGCCATGGCGCCAGCCTAGCTCACAGCAGCCTCAAACTCCTGGGCTCAAGCAATCCTTCTGCCTCAGCCTCCCGAGTAACTGGGACTACAGGCATGTGCCACCATGCCCGGCTAATTTTCTATATATATAAGTTGGCCAATTAATTTCTTTCTATTTATAGTAGAGACGGGGTCCCACTCAGGCTGGTTTTGAACTCCTGACCTCGAGCAATCTGCCCGCCTCAGCCTCCCAGAGTGCTAGGATTACAGGCGTGAGGCACCAGGCCAGGCCTATGCTTTTTTTTTTTTTTGCTTTTTTTGGAGACTGAGCCTTCTCACTTTGTCTCCTGGGCTAGAGTGCTATAGCATCAGACTAGCTCACAGCAACCTGAAGCTTCTGGGCTCAAGCAATCCTCCTGCTTCAGCCTCCCAAGTAGTTGGGCCTACAGGTGTATACCAGCACACCTGGCTAATTTTTACCATTTTTAGTAGAGATGAGGTCTCATTCTTGCTCAGGCTGGTCTAAATTTCCTGACCTCAAGTGATCCTCCTGCCTCAGCTTCCCAGAGTGCTAGGATTACAGGCATGAGCCACCGCACCCAGCCCCATTAACTATTCTTATTGGACATTTGCATGTCCTTTCTGAAATTGCATGTTCATGTCCTTGTTCATTTTTCTTTTATAAAAAATTAAAGTATAAATTATATACCATAAAATTTGTTTTCATATGTACAAATTCACTGATTTTTTTTTTTTAGTAACTTTACATTATTACACAACCTATCACCACAATCCAGTTTTAGAACATTTCCATCACTCCAAAAAGAAATGTTTTGTCCATTTGTAGTCATTAGGCCCCTTCTGGACATTTCATATAAAAGTGATCTTTTGCATCTGGCGTCTTCCACTTAGCATAATGTTTTTGAGGTTCATCCATGTTGTAACATATATCAGATATTTCTTCCTTTTTATTGCTAAAAATATCCATTGTATAGATATACTACATTTTGTTTATTCATTCGTCTGTTGATGGACATTTGGATTATTTTCAGTTTTTGGCTTTTATGAATAATACTGCTATAAACATTTATATACAAGTCTTTGGACATGTTCTCATGTCTTGTTTAGCTAGTTAGCAGTGTAATTGCTTGGTTCTATGGTAAATTTATGTTTAACTTCTTAGGAAACTACCAAACTGTTTTCCAAAGTGACGGTACCATTTTACATTCCTACCAGCAATGTATGAGAGTTTTAATTTCTCCACATCCTGGCTAATGATTGGTATTGTCTGTCTTTTTGAGTGTAGCCATACTAGTGAGTGTAAAGTGATATCTCCTTGTGGTTTTTTTTTTTGTTTGTTTGTTTGTTTTATTTTTATTTATTTATTTATTTTTTTTCTTTTAAGACAACATATTGTGTCCCATCCTTGTGGTTTTAATTTGCGTTTCCCTATATTGGTGAAATTTCTATTTAAATCTCATGTTCATTTTAAAATTGTTTTCTTATTATTGAGTTATAATAGTTCTTTATATATTCTGGATATAACTTTGTGTTTTACTTTTTAATCAGAAATGTGATTGCAGATGTTTTCTTCCAGCCTGTGACTTGTCTTTTTATTTTCTTAATGTTATCTTTTGAAGTGTGACAGGTTTTAATTTTCATAAGTATAATTTATCAGTTTTTTCTTTTATAAATCATGCTTTTAGTGCCATATTTAGGAACTTTTGTCTAACTCAAGGTGAAAATTTTTTCCTCTGTTTTCTTCCAAAAGTTTTATAGTTTTAGCTCTTATTATATCTGTGATTCATTTTGAGTCAGTTTTTGTACACGGGCTAAAATAAGTGTTTATCTTTTTATGTGTGGATATCCAGATGTCTCAACACCATTGATCTTCATTGAATTCTGTTGGCATCTTTGTTGAAAATCAATTGACCATAAATGTTAGGATTTATTTCTGGACTCTCAATTCTATCTAATCTGTTGTTCTTAAACAACAAAATGAAGTGCTAATAATTTTATTTCAATGAGTAACTCTTAAAAGACTCACCCAGATTTCGATAAGAAAATGAACTGGTACATCTCCATTCACAATCATGAGCTGGAGTCTCAATATTTTCCCCCTTACATGGAACCTAGCCACCAAAAATGTACATCCTGAACAACAACAAAAAAACAAGAACATAAAGTAGCTGATTTAATTTTACTTTTTGGATTTGAAATGCTGAGAAGAGCAGGCTTAAATTTCTTATTTGTTGACTGAAAGCTTCAGAACTATTCACTCACTTATCACTGTCAAGGTAATGGGAATAAGAAGACGAATAAAATAGTTTCTTTTAAGAATTTATAATTTTATAAAACAATAGATAATCAAAGGGTTACTCTCATGTCCAGTGCCTCAACTGAGATGGCCTTAGGACAGACTCAACTGGCTCTGTACTCTTTGTGACTACACATGGCCTCTCCAGAGGGTGGTTTTGTGGGAGTTGAATTTCTTACATGATTGTTTCTAATTTCAAGAGTGAGTGTTCTAGTGAAGCTGTATTGGCCTTCTGTGACCCAGCCGTAGAAGTCACATAGTGTCATTTCACTATATACAATTAATTGAAGTAATCACAAACCAGCCCAAAATCCAGGGAAGGAGACATAGACCCAACCCCCTGATGGGAAGAGTGTCAGAGGATTTGCAGCTATGTTTTGAAACCACCACAGTTGTCATTGATGAGTGTGTTGGATAAATGATGGCAGGATTTTTTTTTAAATCTCTTCTGTTTGCTATTAAACCCCAGAACAGTGCCTGGTACATAGTAGTGTTTAATAAGTATGTGTTGATTGAATGAGGTCTGGAGTTTCTCTGTCCTAATGTCTTTCTGCACTATATGAATTCTTCACAGTGAGCACACATTATCTTTAAAAATGGAAACAAAATGCAAGTAAAGGGTATATATTATCTGAATGTTTTAATTTCTTTCATGATATCCTAGATATTTAAATGATTTCTATGAGTTGGAGCTACAGCATGGTTCGGGTGTTGTGGGTTGGAGCATTCCCGTGACTAAAGGGGTTGTGCCTTCTCCAAGAGAATCCCACACAGCTGTTATATATTGCAAAAAAGATTCTGGAAGTCCTAAAATGTATGTTTTTGGCGGAATGTGTGGTGCTCGCCTGGATGACCTATGGCAACTTGACTTAGGTAAGCTTAACTTGATTCAGGCTCAGGAATTGGTTATGATTAATAGGGCAAATTAAAAAAATGCTCTGAAAAATATTTTTTATTGCAATATTTATTTAGTTGTACTTAGCTTTATAATTAGCACTTGTAGCCACGGGGGGCCCTGAGATGTGTTGTGAATGGTTGCTGATAAATCCAGTTGAACAAATGAATAATTAATTTATGACAGTAACTTTCCTGTGTTTCCGATAAGTAGGGTTACCATATATTTTGGTTTTCCTAGGATAGTCCTGGTTTATGCTTATTATCCCATATAATTGTCAATATTACAGTACCCTTTTCACATTGAAAAGTGTCCTGTTAGGGATGATAACTTCATAAGGTTATGCTAGCTATAGGAAATATATCATTACCAATAAATTATTGCCGGTCAGTAAAAAACCTGTAGATGATTTCTTTCTAATGGGATCCTAGGAATGAATGATTAGAGGGTAGTGTGCCTCTCACCTTTGACTATCTTCTACACAATGTGCTCTTATTTAACACATTAACTCACTGCCATGTGAGTTGTATTTAACTCATGCTAGTTTTGAGCCTGGGCTTCATGAAGCATATGTAACTCACATGTCTCTTTACCTTGGGAGCCATAATAACTAATTTTCAAGTTGTATGTAACTCATGCACAGAAAACAGTAAAAAATAAGAAATTTTTCATTAAATTAAAAAGAATCATTTTGTTTTTGAAGTTTTTATTCTTTTTTCATAATAAAACACCATGGCCCCAAGGAAAATATTTTTTTCTAGTGTGGCAATCAATGTATTAAAATGGTAAGATCCCAGCCAGGTGCAGTTGCTCATGTCTGTAATCCTAGCACTCTGGGAGGCCAAGGCAAGAGGATTGCTTGAACTCAGGAGTTCAAAACCAGCCTGAGGAAGAGCAAGACCCAGTGTCTACTAAAAATAGAAAAATTAGCTGGGCATAGTATCGCATGCCTGTAGTCCCAGCTACTTGGGAGGCTGAGGCAAGAGGATTGCTTGGGCCCAGGAGTTTGAGGTTGCAGTGAGCTATGATCACGCCACTAAATTCTAACCAGGGCAACAGAGCAAGATGTCTCAAAATAAATAAATAGAGAGATAGATAGTAAAATCCCTAATATTGTTCTTAATTCAAAATTAGTGGCACCCTGAGTGCACTTTTCCATTAGAAATAAAGTCATCTCTGTATTCATGGAGGATCTGTTACAGAACCTCCTCTTAATACCAACATTCATGGATGCTCAAGTCCCTAATATAAAATAGCATAGTTATTTGCATACTCTCCTGTATTCTTTAAATCATGTCTAGATTACTTGTAATAGATAATACAATGTAAATACCATGTAAATGGTTGTTATACTCTATTGTTTAGGAAATGATGACAAGAAAAACAAGTCTGTACATGTCCAGTACAGACTCGAATTTTTTTTTCTGAATATTTTCGATCCATGGTGGGTTGAATCCACAGGCAAGGGGACCACCAATACAGAGAGTTAACTGTACTAATATTCAAGTGTAAGTAGATTTCTGATTGGCAATTTATGTCAGCTGGAAATGTTTATTTTAAGATGAAGTTCAAATAACTGTTAAAATATTTTTCCTTCATTTTGACAAGTCTTTGATTTATTTTTAAAAATTATGAAGTTGTAATTTGCTGTCATTAAATTGCTAATATAATTATTTTTACTTTTAGAAACCATGTCATGGTCAAAACCAGAAACCAAAGGGACAGTGCCACTTCCACGAAGCCTTCATACAGCTAGTCTTATAGGAAACAAGTATGGTATTTTTTGTATTTTGCTTTTGCTTTTTGAAAACCATCTTGAGAGAGACACACACACAAAGAAAAGTCATGCTACTAGTTTCTTGGGAATAGATTATTCAACTTAAAGTTTTATTGTGCTTATTGAAGCTAAGATAATGTATCTATGGAAGCTAAAATATTTAGTGTGCCATTTTCACACTATCTTTTTTACTTTATATTCCTCACAATACTAGTTTCTTGGAAATAGATTATTAAAATTAGCAAAGTTTGTGCTTACAAAAGCTAAAATAATTTGTCTATGGAGGCCATTTTCCTTTCATGCTATCTCTTTTACTTCTTTACATTCCTCACAATGTCTTGTACAAAGTAGGCTTTATGTAAATGTAAGGCACAGTGTTGTCAAACTTATCTGTCTTCTGTCAGCAGGTTTGGCATACCTACATCACTATTTTTTTTCTACATATATTTGAAAGTGCTTGATTTGTAGCAGGCACATACTTGTAATGATTACACTTTAGATGGCAATATAGAGTTACGGCTGGAATACAGACTCTGTTACCAGATAGCTTGGGTTCAAGTCTCAGCTTTGGTGCTTGTCCTGTATGACCTGAGGCAAATAAACTTAATTTTTCTGTACCTCAGTTTTCTCAAGTATACAGTGAGGATTAAAGTAAAACTTACTTTACAAGGTTGTAATGAAGAGTAAATAGATTAGTACATATAAAGTGCTTAGAACAGTTCCTGGTACATACAGAGTATACCGTAAAGGTTAGCAACCACTACCATAAAGGTTAGCAACCACTACCACAAGTTCCCTTATTTGTGCAACACTTTGCCACAATTAGGAGTACTGTTTAAGTAGAACTTAATGAAGTATTTACTAGTGTAGGAATTTTACCTTAAATGTAATGTTTTAGGAAACTAATATTGTAATTTAGAACCTTACTAGTTCTTTCTTAAAAGTATCCTCAAAACCAAACAGAATGGTCTTTACATTTAAACAAAATCTTATAACATACATTTTGTGTGTGTGTGTGGCAGCAGAACCCTTTTATAAAATGAAATTTTCCACTGGAACCCCAATATAAAAAATAGATTTTAAAAAAAGAGCTCTGGTTGGCATGAGGTTATATGGGCCCTAAGCTCTGCCTGATGAGTCTTTCTTTTCCAGCAGCCATTAGGCTTGTCTCAAGATCTCCTAGGGGATTGATTGCTTGAGCCCAGGAGTTTGAGGTTGCATTGAACTATGATGATGCCACTGAACTCTAGCCCAGGCAACAGAAAGCCCTATCACCAAACTCTAGCCCTATCACCAAAAAGAAAAGAAAAAAAAGAAAGAAAAAAAAAAAAGAACTAGGGCCCTGAGAAATGTAGTTTAAAGTTTTTAAAGTTTTTTATTTAAGTGATATCAGTGACCAAAGTTATATGAAATTTAATCCTCTTTGGTTGCTATGTGCATACAATTCTAAATTTGGCTTTGGATATCATAGATCATTTGAGTATATTTCTGACTGGGTACCCTTAGTACATTATAGATAGTTTTGATTTTCAAATGTATTATAGTTGAAATATTCCTCACTTTAAGTAACTTGCCAGAAAGAAATAGTTTTGATTATCTATTGCTTTATAAAATTGCAAATTCTTGAAAGAAGACTATTTTATTCATCTTCTTATTCCCATTACCTTGACAATGACAAGTGAGTGAATAGTTCTGAAGCTTTCAGTCAACAAATAAGAAATTTAAGCCTACTCTTCTTAGCATTTCAAATCCAAAAAGTAAAATTAAATCAGCTACTTTATGTTCTTGTTTTTTTATTGTTGTTCAGGATGTACATTTTTGGTGGATGGGTTCCACATAAGGGGGAAAATATTGACATGTCACCTCAAGATTGTGAATGGAGATGTACCAGTTCATTTTCTTACCTAAACCTGGGTGAGTCTTTTAAGAATTACTCACTGGAATAAAATTATTAGCAAAAGAACTTTAGTTATTTTGTTGTTTAAGAACAATAGATTAGTCATAGATGTTTCTGTCTTTTTAGATACAGCAGAATGGACCACACTAGTATCAGATTCTCAGGAGGATAAAAAAAATTCAAGACCAAGACCAAGAGCTGGACACTGTGCTGTTGCAATTGGCACACGTTTATATTTTTGGAGTGGAAGAGATGGTTACAAAAAAGCACTGAATAGTCAAGTTTGCTGCAAGGATCTTTGGTATCTTGATACTGGTAGGTAAGAGTATTTAACAAATAAAACTGGTTTTTTTAGGTAAATACTCAAATAATGTCTGTCTTTTGAGACTCACAGTAAATGCCACTGCCTCTCTTTCCCGTAATTAAAAATGAATGGGCCAGGCAAGATGGCTCACACCTGTAATCCCAGCACTCTGGGAGGCCAAGGTGGGGGTGGTGGGGGGGATCACTCAAGGTCAGGAGTTGAAAACCAGCCTGAGCAAGAGCAAGACCCTGTCTCTACTAAAAAGAGAAAGAAATCAATTGGCCAACTAAAAATATATAGAAAAAATTAGCCGAGCATGGTGGCACATGCCTGTAGTCCCAGTTACTCGGGAGGCTGAGGCAGTAGGATTGCCTGAGCCCAGGAGTTTAGGGTTGCTGTGAGCTAGGCTGATGCCATGGCACTCTAGCCTGGGCAACGGAGTGAGGTTCTGTCTCAAAAAAAAAAGAAAAAAATGAGTGGAAGAAATGATATATGTAGATACTCCTCACTCCAGGTAAGCATATTAATTCCCCTGTCCTTGAGTGTAGACTGGATTTAGTGTAGACTGCTTTGCAAACAGTAGAATATGGAAAAGGAAAAATGGTAGCTTTACAGTAGAGAAACCTGGCAAGCACCACCTTAATCAAGTGATCCAGGTTAATGTCACTAGTGATGTCATTTTGATATCATTTATCTTCCTGATATCATGTAATAAGTAGGTACTTCACTTCTGTGGTACTCTTCTCAAAAATTCATAACCCCAGTCTAATCATGAGAAAATATCATATAAACCCACGGGGACATTCTAGATATTATACAGACTATGTGAGCAGTACTCTTTAAAAGTTTCAAAGTGATGAAAAATAAGGGAAAACTAAGAAATAGTCATAAATTGGAGGAGACTAAGGGGACATGCTGACTAAATGCAATGTGAATTCTGGATTGGATACTAGAAAAAAATGACCATTAATTAAAAAACTGGTGAAATCTGAGTAGTCTGTAGTTTAGTTAATAGTATTGTACTTATGGTCATTTCTTAGTTTTAAAGAATTTGTTAATATTGGTGGGAGCTGGGGAAGAGAGACAGCTGGGGTTATGTATTATGGCAACACTGTACTGTCTTTGTAACTTTTCTGCAAATCTGAAATTATTCCAAAATAAAAAGTTTTGTAAAAAAAGTACTAGAGCACCAAAAATTTTTAATGTGAAATTCACATGCATTTTCAATAAATATTTATTTATTGATAACTGTGTAGCAGGAATTGTTCTAAATGCTGGGAATATAGCAATGAACAAGATTGATAATGTTCATGCTCTCAAAGAACTTACATTCTGAGACAGCAGAGAGATAACAAGCAGTAATCAAACAAACAAACAAAATAAGTTGAGTTTCTGGTAAGCACGTGAAGACACGAGATAGTGATGGGAGGTACTGGGAATGGGGGATGGTGGCTGCTTCAGAGTAGTAGTCAGAAAAGTCCGCTGTGATGAAATGACATGGGATGTGATCCAAATGGTGAGCAGGAGCTACCCATGTAAAAGGCTGGGAAAACCACTGCAGGAAGAGCTAACAGCAAGTACGAATATTTGCTGAGATCGAATATTTGCTGAGATCGGAATACTTGGCATTTTTTGGGAGCAGATTTGAGCTGAGTACACAAAGGGGAGAGTATAGGAATACAAGTTAGAGAGGTGACCACAAGTCAGATCATGAGGGCCTTGAACATCATGGTAGATTTTAAATTATTTTTAAAGTTCAATGGTAAGTTATGTATAAGTTTAAAGGAGAGATGTGATATGATCTGATATACTTTTGGAATGGGCACTGGCAGTTGTGTGGAAGATAAATTGCACACAGGGAGACAAGTTATAGGCTTGTTCAGTATTCAAAGAAGTGTCTTAGACTACAGTGGTGACAATGGAGAAGAGGAAGAATGGATAAATTCAGGATATACTTTGGAGTTCTTGTTGGCAGAACTGGCTGATAAAGTGAGTATGGCAGGGGACAGAAAGGGAAGAAAAGGGTAAAATTTTTAGCATGAATAATTTACTGAGATGGGGAAGACCAAGGGAAAATAGCCTTGTGGAGAGAATTAAGAGTTCCATTTAGACCATGCTAAGTTTGAAATAAGATCAAGTAGGCAGTTGAATGAAAAAACAAATCTGGAGGCCAGTAGAGAAATTAGATCTGGAGATGTAATATGTAATATTATATGAGAAAAGCAGATTATAAACATATCTATGACTCTAGTTATTTTAAAGTTATAAATAGAAAAGTTGGAAGGATATATACCAAAGTATTATCTGAGAGCTGAGATTAGATATTTTCTTTAAAGCTTTTCTCTCTTTCCTTATCTGTATTTTCTACAGTAGCACATATTACTTTTATAAAGTAAAAACAGTTTAATATTAAAATTAAGGCCAGGCATAGTAGCTCATGCCTGTAATCCCAGCACTTTGGGGAGGCTGAGGTGGGAGGATCGCTTGAGGCCAGGAGTTTGAGACTACCCTGGGCAACATAGCAAGACCTCTACAAAAAATAAGAAAATTAGCCAAGTGTGGTGGCATGTACCTGTAGTCCCAGCTACTCAGGAGGTTAAGGCAGGTGGATTGCTTCAGCCCAGGAGATTGAGCCTGCAGTGAGCTCTAATCACACCACTACACTTTAGCCACCACAAAAGAGTGAGACCCTATCTCAATTTTTAAAAAATGTATAAAATAAAATAAAATTAAGATAGGTGAAAAAAATAATGGAACAATTAAGTTATAGACTAAGTACTTTATGTGAAAGAAGCACATACTAGCAACCAGGAAAGAAATATAGAAAATTCAATTTACTGATTCATCTTTGAAATTTGGGATTATTAACTGAAGTCTAAGGATAAACTTCAGTTCTCTGCAATTGGATGTAAAATGTATATGAGTGAATTTTTCTTTGTAGGAATTATATCATTTTAACCAGATTCTCTAAAGGATCTGTGACTTAAAAGGGTAAAAAACTATTGAATCTAAATGGCCAGTTTTTCCATGAACATTTTCATAAAAGGCTTCAGATACCAATATCCATCTAAAAGTAAAAGCAGTCACTATGACAAAAGTTAGATAAGTTAGCATCAATTTTGAGGGGAGGTAGAGGTTCTTCATTTTGCCTTTTTTTTACTTTTAGTTAAACTTTGTGCATTTCATAGCATTTAAAAGAATAATAGAATTAATTCCATGAGGCTTTTAATGAAAGATAGCAGTCCTTTGCACCCGTCTTCCCCACATTTTTCTTGCTTTATAAGCATCTTAATTCTGTTAAATGATTCTCTGGATATTTATTTTCATATCCCTATATCACATGCCTATATTGTTACTTGGATTTTTTTTTCCAATTTAGGCATATTATGCTCACTTTCTACTGTGGAAATTAAGGATTTAGCTCTTCTTGCCACCTTTCTTTACCTCTCTCCCATACACCTTCCCTATCAACCATTCTCTCAATATGATTATACCATAATTTTGTTAGATGTATAGTCATTGTTTACATTATGACTATATAAATGCTATTCACAGTTGAGCCTTCCTTGCACAGTTTTTTATTTACTATGGAGTAATAATTGTCAATTTTATTTGTTTTAGATCTGTATGTACTTACCACCAATTCAGTCCATACACTATTATTTGTTTAAATCTCTGATATGGTTAGAAGCATCAAATACTCTATCAAATTTGATCATCTTACAGAAAGCTCTCCTGCTCCAATCTGGGATGGTTGCCCTTTACAAATTGAGCACAACTATCATCCTAGTGTCTCCATCATCCTCTTAGGGATATCTTTTGCCTCTCATCTGTGCCAGATTCCCTGTTTCCTGGATCCCATATTTTTCCTTTTCTTAGCTTACTTCTTTTTTTGTGGAAAACATCCCAAGAAAAGGGTGCACAGCTGATAACTTTTTTGAGATCTTGCATTATTTGAAAATGTGTTCAGTCTTCCTTCGACTTGATCGACTTAATCGACACTTGAATGGAAATGAAGTTTTACATTGGAAATCATTATACTTCAGAATACTGGAAGCATCATTCTGTTGATTTTAAGCTTCCAGTGTTTTTGTTGAGAAATCCAAACCACTTCTGATTTTTGGTCCTTTTAAATGTGACCTTTTTTTCCTCCCCTTTCTCTGGATGCTTTTAGGATTTTTCTCTTGTTCCCACTATTTTTAAATATCATAGTATCTTGCTTTGTTGTATGTACTTTGTATCCATTGTGCTGAGTACTCAGTGAATACTTTCAGTCTGAAGACTCATGCTTTTCAGTTCTGGAGAATTTTCTTGATTTATTTTATTGATTTTCACCCTTCTCTTTTCTTTAGTCTTTCTTTATGTCAATTCTATTATGTAGGGGTTGTACCTCCTGGATTTATCTTCTTAGTGTCTGCTTTTGTTCAGGTCTGGGTTGCCTTACTTTAAGAAACATAAATAAACTGGATTGTGAATAGGATCATGGAGGAGTTTACATGGGAATAGTTGAAGGAGCTAGGCTTAATTATCTTCTAAAATAGGGTCATCAAATTTTTTTCTGTAAAGGAGCAGAATGTAAATACGTTAGGCTTTGTAGGTCCTGAGGTCTCTGTTGTAATTACTCAGCTCTGCTGTTTTAGCATGGAAGCAGCCATAGACAATACATAAACAAATGAGCTTAGCTGTGTTTCAATAAAACTATTTATAAAAACAGGCATGGGCTGAATCTGGCCCATGGCTCATAGTTTACTGACCCCCTACTCTAAGGATACATATTTAAAACTGAGATAGATATTACAGTTGTTCTATAAGGATGAATTCATAGGCTTATAGATTTCAGTTCACTAGAAGAATACATTTTCTTATGTTACTGTCCAAAGGGGAATGTACTGCCTCTGAGTTGTAAATTCCCTGATATGGTAGGTATACAAAAAAAAAGAAGACAAGGATATTGTAGAAATAATTTCAAATCCTGTTTTCCAGCTTTAAGAGTCTATAATAGTTACTTGTTTTGGAAATGTAGGTTATATTGGAAATGTTTGGTGCATTTCAAGGTAATTACCTGTTTTGTGTAGTTTAAGTCTTGATAAGAGGGTATTAACTGAAGAGAAATTATGTTTTTCCAAAATATCATGTTCAAGTCATCTTTGCTCACATTAACAGAATTTCTAGCAAGTATGCTGTTAGTTGAGAATTGGCTCATAACATGAAACATATTAGAATTTCTAAATAAGGTTAAATAATGTAGCTATAATCATATAACAATACTTGGCTCCCCCCACCCCAAACTCCTTTTAGCATTAAACACTTTTCTGAATCTGATGACTCAAGTATTTTGGTACTGGATTGTTTAGTTTATAGATTTATTTGTATAAGGAATTAAATAAATGGAATCAGAACCCTAGACTTTTTATTTGACCTAATGTAGCTATGTTTATCTGAGTAAATTTTCCTTCTCTTGGTAAACAGATGAAACATTCACCACTAATGTTTTTAAAACTCCAGTTTATACAAACTATTGATATGATTGAAACTTAAATGTATAATATCAATATTGTTCTTTAGAAAAACCACCAGCACCATCACAAGTACAGCTGATCAAAGCCACTACCAACTCTTTTCATGTCAAATGGGATGAAGTGCCTACAGTTGAGGGCTATCTTTTGCAGTTGAATACAGACTTGCCATACCAAGCCACATCATCAGATTCTTCAGCAGCACCAAATATGCAAGGTAACATAATTTTCACACTTAATGAAAGTATGTATGCTCATATGCTTTTGAGAAAAGATGCTGCAGAGAAGTCTTTAATTAGGCTTGCTTTAACAAATTTTATTATATTATGGCTCATGCTCGGTGAATCACATATGTTGAGTTTCAACTTTGAAACTTGGCTGTCTTACCATTATGATGTAGTAGAACATATAGACATGTAGAATAGGATATTTTTTCTATAGTTCAGTCTGATACACTTGATTTGACATATTACTTCAGCAGATGATTTTATTTTTTTTTTATTTTTATTTTTTTTCTGAGGATATTGAAGTCTTATGCAGATGGTTTTAATTCACTTTCGCAAACATCTCAGCTTTTTATCAAAAGTATTTTTAGCTAAACAGACACTTGGAAAGTAAAAGCAAGTTTAATTTTACACATTTTTCCAGAGAGGATTTCAGTCAACTTAAGTAAACTAGTAAGAACTTTGATAAAAATGCTACTTTTTAAACCTAATATGTAACTTTAAAAAATATTTGATTATAATATATTTTCTTGAAGCTAAATAAGAGCATATCAGTCTGAACTTTTTCATTCCTACAGGAGTCAGGACAGACCCTCACAGACAAGGCAGTAATAGCATCGTTCCTAACAGTGTAAGTTAAAAAGTTTATGATGGTATGAATGTTTATGGTTATGGTCTCAACTTTCATTGAGTTTTGGCATATTACTCTAGGAGAGGGATCTTTAACTGTGGCTGCACATAAGAATCATCTCTGAGATAAACAAACATGCACACAGATTCCCAGGTCCTTCCCCAGATCTAGTGAAGCAGAATCTTTAGGATAGTGCCCAGAAAGTTTTCTTTTTAAAGAAAGTTTCACAGATCATTGTGACAGAAGCCTAAATTGAGAACCCCTGGTTGAGATAAGCCTATCCTCATTACATAGATCAGACTAATTCATTATAATTTATACTTATGTCTATATTTCTGAATGTCACACACATACATTTTAAACTTCTAAAGAGGTACTTTAGAGAATACGTATGAAATATATTTTTTATTATTTTGTTTATCAAAAATATCAATTGCTAAATTGAGTATGTGTATGAGAGGTTATTTCTTTTCTTTTCTTTTTTTTTTTTTTTGAGTCAGAGTCTCGCTTGTTGACCAGGCTAGAGTGAGTGCCGTGGTGTCAGCCTAGCTCACAGCAACCTCAAACTCCTGGGCTCAAGCAATCCTTCTGCCTTAGCCTCCCGAGTAGCTGGGACTACAGGCATGTGCCACCATGCCCGGCTAATTTTCTATATATATTAGTTGGCCAATTAATTTCTTTCTATTTATAGCAGAGACCGAGTCTTGCTCTTGCTCAGGCTGGTTTCGAACTCCTGACCTCGAGCAATCTGCCCGCCTCAGCCTCCCAGAGTGCTAGGATTACAGGCGTGAGCCACCGCGCCCAGCTTTTATTTCTTTTTTGAAGTGCTCGCAGTTGGTCTTTGTGGAGACTAATGAATAAGCTTACTAAGATTCATTATTTTTTCTGGAAATTGCTATCTATATCAGTAGACTGTTTTCAAGAAGAGTGGTGTAGATGTAGGCTTACATGATCTGAGCATGACTGAGAACTAGTAATATGCAGAAAAGATATATGTTAGGAAGTATGTCATGCCATACTTATGTCAGGAAGGGTGTTACAAGTAAATCTCATATAGTTTATTTGCAAGCGACTGTATATTAGACATTTATATGTATATATATGTTATCTATTGTTATATATTATATATGTGTATTATGTGTGTATATCATAAATTTAGATGGTGCTATAAGGCTTATGATGAAGAGCAGTAGTTCCTACCCAGTCCCTGCTTGCTCCTAGTTACAGCTCCCTAGAAGCAACTACTTTCAACTATTGTAGCTTTCTTTCAGTATCTACTATGTACAGTCATCCCTTGGTATCTGCGGGATTGGTTCCAGGACCTCCAGTGAGTGAATACCAAAATCTAAGCATACTCTAGTCCTATAGTTGGCCTGGTGTACCTGTGGATATCAAAACTCAGCCCTCGGCCGGGCGCGGTGGCTCACGCCTGTAATCCTAGCTCTCTGGGAGGCTGAGACGGGCGGATTGCTCAAGGCAGGAGTTCGAACCAGCCTGAGCAAGAGCGAGCCTCGTCTCTACTATAAATAGAAGAAATTAATTGGCCAACTAATATACATAGAAAAAATTAGCCGGGCATGGTGGCACATGCCTGTAGTCCCAGCTACTCGGGAGGCTGAGGAAGGAGGATCGCTTGAGCCCAGGAGTTTGAGGTTGCTGTGAGCTAGGCTGACGCACGCGCACTCATCTAGCTGGGCAACAAGTGAGACTCTGTCTCAAAAAAAAAAAAAAAAACTCAGCCCTCTGTGTCCTTGGTTTTTGCATTCCATGAATACTGTATTTTCCATCTGTGTTTGGTTGAAGATGCAAAACCCATGGATATGGATGACCAACTATATTTATTGAAAAAAATCTACAGAGAAGTGGACCCGTGAAGTTCAAACCTTTGTTGTTCAAAGGTCTGCTGACTATACTTCTAAATATCTTGGCTTTCTACTTTTAGATCAGCTGTCTTCAATAATGGAAAATGAAAATATGATGATCTCTTAAAATATTACCTCATCCTCTCCTTTCCCCTTCCCACATCCTTCACATATTTTTAGTTAAATTATGACTTGATGTTCACATTATGATTGTGACATATTCATAGGTAAGCCATGTAGTGCTCTATGAGCATTGTTCCTTTCTCATACAATTTTGTTTTTCCTGGCATTAACTGCCTCACTTTTTCACTTGCTTAGTTTTCTTCTTGTCTATTATTAATTCATACTCAAATTCTCCAACAAACTTTAAAACTTCTCAAAATATCAGATATATAAGGTAGTTCCTTTTTTGCCCCTTTGGAACCATCCCTCCTGGACCCCCCTGTTCTCGTGCTCTGGTCTGTACTTGTTCTTTTTTAGGCTTGCTGCACAGCACTCCTCTTAGAACTTTCATTAGTTTCATATTAGGAATTTCTTCTCTCTTTCTTGTGCTAGAACCTACATTTCTTGACCTCATTTATTCCTCTTTCTTGATATTTTCCCTTATTTGTTGCAACCTTCCCTCTAGTAGTTTCCTGAGAAACAGTTTATGAAAGGTAAACTTTTTGAGATCTTACATATCTGAAAATATCTTTAGTCTATTCACATTTGACTGATAGTTTGGGTGGATTATAAAATTCTGTAGTGGAAGCTTTTCTCTCAGAAATTTATAAGCTTTTTTCTAGTGCCTTTCAGCATTGCTATTTAGAAGTCTGATCCACTAGGGTTTCTGATCCTTTATATGTGACCTAATTTTTTCTTTTTATCTCCAGTATTCTGACATTTCAGTAATGATGTGCCTTACGGTGTTATGTCTTCATTTGTTGTCCTATATACTCAGTGGAACCATTGTCCTGGAAACTCAAGGCTTTCATTATTGATTATTTATTTCCTCTTTCTTAATTTTTCAACACTTCTGTTGAATGATCGTCCTTCTGACTAGTCCTCTAATTTTCCTTTTTATCTTCTATTTTCTCTGTCTATTCTACTTTCTGAAAAATTTCTTCATTTTATATTATAAATCCTCTATCCAATTTTTAAATATATTCAACCACAGTTTTAACTTCCAAAAGCCTGATCTTATTCTTTATTTCTGTTATAGCATCTTATTCTTGGTTCAGAAATATAGTATCTTCCCTATCTCTTCAAGAACTGTGCTTTTTTGGAATTTGGATATTTATTCTGCTCTCTGCAGTATTTCTTTTTTTCAAGCTCCTTTTTATTTTTTAATTTGTTTGATCTTGGACTTTCACATTAGAGGCTGGTGATGCTTGGCTATCATTTCACGTTTAAAGTGAGGCTATAAAAAGGAGCTTGGGGCCGGGCGTGGTGGCTCACACCTGTAATTCTAGCCCTTTGGAAGGCCGAGGTGGGTGGATCGCTCAAGGTCAGGAGTTCGAAACCAGCCTGAGGAAGAGCAAGACCCCGTCTCTACTAAAAATAGAAAGAAATTAATTGGACAATTAAAAATACATAGAAAAAAATTAGCCGGGCATGGTGGCACATGCCTGTAATCCAGCTACTTGGGAGGCTGAGGCAGAAGGATTGCTTGAGCCCAGGAGTTTGAGGTTGCTGTGAGCTAAGCTGACACCACGGCACTCTAGCCAGGGCAACAGAGTGAGACTCTGTCTCCAAAAAAAAAAAAAAAGAGCTTTGAAGGGCTATGCATGTGGGCATGGCTTGTTGATGAGTAGACCTTATCGAAGGCAATTGGTTGAGGGCCCACAAATATCAGTATCTGTGGGTCTTTTTTCTTAGACCAATTAGTTTTCCCTGAGAATTCTCCAACCTCTTGCTTGACGGTTATAAGTGTAGCTGTCAGTATTTTGGAAGCCTAGTATGAGAATTGGAGAGGGGATATCTATTTGTTCAACATGCAGACTTTTACTTAATTCCTGTTTTCAATATGGGTACCTTTCCCTATACTTTTTTGCATCACTTGAGAGATACTGTAGCATAGTCTAGAGCCTCTCATTTCAACCTTTCTACCTATTTCCTCTCTTCAGAAAAGAGGAGAGGAATTTCTCTGGTTTTGTGTGCCGAAAGAGCAGAGATAAGGCCTCAGCACTTCTTATCCAGGCTTCTGTGTGACAATCCCCCAGTGTTTTCTTGCACTGTGTACCTCTGCCACCACAGTAGTGGATGCCTTCCCAGGCTCTGTGGCTCAAATGTGTCATATCTTGATGAATTTGCACTTAGGAGAAGGCTCTTAGCTACTACCTTTTTCTGCTTTACATCTTATCTACTATTGTCTCTTCTCTCATTCTCTTTTTCCTTACAAATTTTATCTTCATACTTTTTAAAAATTCTTTCTGATCATTTGAATTGAGTTTTTGGAGAAATATGAAACAAATGTATTTACTTTACCTTGTTTAACCAAAAATATCAGGATTTATTTATTCTTATTTTATAAAATTTTAGTTAGAATATCTGATTTTTAAGCAAAGAATACGTTAGAGACACTATAACATGGAGACTTTGGAATGAAGTAAACCTAGATTCAAATTCTAGCTCTGTTTCTGGAGCATTATTTTGCTTGTGTTTTACATGTATTTCTATTTTCTTCATCTATAAAACGGGTCATATTATCAAACTTATAGGATTCTTGTGAAGATTAAGGAAGATACAGAGTTTATGAATATGTACACACTGCCTGGCACAATGCCTCGCATAATGGTTGTGGCTATTATCATCATCATCACTTATTAATAATAGCACCATCAATTAAGGGCAAGTACAGGGTATGTTTAAGGGACAAATATCTTTAGAGCCATGAGAAATTATAAAAGTTTATAGTAAAAATAGAAAAGTAACAAAAAATAGGTTAATATAAAGGAACAGCAATATTGGGGTATTTGATGAAACCAGGTCACTTTTATGGTTCAGTAGACCTATACATATTGCTATATAATAACTGATGTTCACATTGATGACCTAAATTAACATAAAGTTTAAATGTGTTCATTACAGTGTATGTAAGAAGGCAGAGAAAAATGTAATTAGAAACATTCTTATCCAAAACGTTTAGCAGTAAAGAATAATGATATGTATACGTATTTAATCTTTATATATCTATATGGAAAACTCAGTCATATAGAATAATTTATTTGCATGAAGGTTCCTTGTAACTGAGATTTTACTTTTAGGAGTCATCAGATCTTAAGTATACCTGCCTGACCTTTAAGGAAATTTGGCCAGAATTTTAAACTCATTAGCTTTGGTGTTTTATCCTGTTACCTACCTACGTATTTACTTGTAATACTGGCTACCATTTATGAAGATGTAGATTTTTTTCCCCTCAAAATATACCATCACTTTTCCCTTCAAAACTAGTCTTTTTGGAGATTAAATGAAAAGAAATTGTTTTCTTAAAAACCATTGTATAATTTAAGAATAATCCTATAGAAATTAAGAATATAATTTTTAAATGTCTCATATTTTGGTAAACTTAAATTGTAAATTCTTTTGTTTGTTTTTTACATGTATTCCTATTTTATTGAATATTGCTTGGTACAGTAAACTACTTTATTTCTTGTAGATCGGCGATACAGTAAACAGTGCGAAGATTGAACATACAGCCATGAAAGGAACTTCAATGAAAAACAAACCAGAATTTAAAGCATTGACGGACTCTAATGCCATTTTACATTCATCTTTGCCATCTAATGCTTCTAATCATAATAGTTGTATGGTGGATATGCTAAGGAAAAATGAAGGTATAAGGATGGCATTTTAAATAAAACTAAAGTTTTTTGTTAAATTGGTAGGGAATTTTAGAGTCATTGAAAAAGTAAATGTTACACAGTTGGGGTTTTTGTTTGTTTGTTTTTGTGACAGAGTCTTGCTCTGTCACCTAGGCTGGAGTGCAGTGGCATGATCAAAGCTCACTGTAACCTTGAACTCCTGGGCTCAAGCAATCCTCCTGCCTCAGCCTCCCAAGTAGCTAGGACTACTGGTGCATGCCACTACACCTGGCTAATTGTTTTATTTTTTGTAGAGATTGGGATCTTGCTATGCTGCCCAGGTTGGTCTTGAACTCCTGGTCTCAAGCAGTCCTCCTATCTCAGCCTCCCAAAGTGCTGGATTATAGCTGGGCATGCTGACTTATGCTTGTAATCCTAGCACTCTGGGAGGCTGTGACAGGCAGATTGTTTGAGTTCAAGAGTTCTAGACCAAAGTGTTGGATTATAGGCATGAGCCACTGTGCCTGACCATAACACAGTTTTGATCCATTTTCTTAATAATAAATTACCTACTATATTGAATCTGGTTAGAATGATGTCAAAATGCCAGTGAACACTTACCTGAATAGTAATTGGTTATGAGCTATAGAATTTAAGTGTGGCAAGTTCTTATGTGACATTTGAGATTTGATAGTATGTTAAATCACTATTCCATTATACTGTTTTATTTCTTATCACTTAACATTATCTGAAATTATTTATTCTGAACAGGAATTTTTTCTATCTTGTTCATCTCTATTTCCCTAGCACCCAGAGCCATGCCTAGTAATACTAGTCATTTAGTAAATGTTTGTTTAGCAGAGTCAAGAACAAAGGTTCAATGTGTAGAATGAAAGAAGGAGCTGGGAAATTGGATATATTAATACACTATGGATATAATGTACTTTATTTTTCTAAATATTTTATGCCTAATGGTTAAGTCATATACATGAGCACCACAATGCCATTTGTGGTGCTCATGTATGATTTTAAAACTGAAAGTACCAAGAATTTTATGACAGAACTATATGATACAACCATTATCTGCAGGTATTATATTAATAATAATATAGTATAATAACTTGATGTTCTTCTTTTTCTTTTAGGTCCTCACACTTCAGCAAATGTAGGTGTTCTAAGTAGTTGCCTGGACGTAAGAACAGTAATCCCTGAAACTTCTGCATCCAGTACTGTTTCCGGCGCACAAACTATGGTAACCCAGCAGGCCATTAAAACTGAATCATCCAGTACAAATGGGGCTGTTGTTAAAGATGAAACTTCACTAACAACATTCAGTACCAAATCTGAAGGTTTGAAATGTGTTTCACATCTGTATTTTGAACAGTTTTTGTATATAAATTCATCAAACGTATTTGTCTTATATGGGAATTGTATTTCATTTTGGATTGATTCATGTATAAGCAGATAAAGCATTTCATTAAAACCATTTTAGAAAATATTCTCAGCTGCCTTACATAAAAGATTTAGATTAGCACACACTATTGAAATATAATCAGAATGTATCTTCCCTACCATGAATAAATTTAGCAAAGTTTTCTTTAAGATAAGATTAGTTCTAGACCGTGGATTAACAATTTTTCCAGCTTAATTGATTTCTAACTTTGTAAATTCTTATTCTTTAGCAGTAGGAATTATGTTTCATCTTTGGTAAATATTCTTTGAAGTTTAAGCTAGTCATCAAACTTGAGCTAAAGGTCTATATCACTAATTTTTGTGAATAATAGTATAATACTCTCTGGCTATTTTTTTATTCTGGAAAATACACATAAAATTTACTATTTAACCATTTTTAAATGTACAGTTTGGTGATATTAAGTATTTGTATATTTATAAATTATATTTTAATATGCCTGTTTGATAATATTATATAAATCTTATATGATGAATTGTTTAATTTTTAGTTGATGAAACATGTGCACTGCCTGCAACTAAGATTAGCCGTGTAGAGACCCAACCTGCAGTAATGCCATATTCTGTAAGTATATGACCTGGTGGTGATGCATGTTTACAGATGATTATGTGCTTCTAACTGCTGAGCAACTTCAATAAATTCATTAAAATATTCTCAGTTGTCATTTAGTAATGAATTGACATAAATTTAGAAGTAAATAATTGAATAGGAAAATGTTCACAGTATGTTTTGTGAAAAAAGCTGGATAAAAAATAACATATGTTGTGTTCTCAATTTTTTAAAAAAATACGTGCAATACATACCTTTATATTCTCACATGCATCTACACATATTTACACTAAAATGCTAGATGACTCTCTCCAGGTATAGGGCCAGAGATAATTTTAACTTTCTTATTTATGCTTTCTATGTTTTTCCATAATGAAATGTTACTTTTGTAATCAGAAATGTGTGTATGTATATACACATATACAAACATGTGTATGTATATATGTAAGTTACATTAATGGTTAAAAGATAGGATGTGTTAGGGAACATAAAACCTGGCTGGCTCTATTGCTAGCTACTTAATAGAAACACAACAGAATATTACAATATTGGGTTGACATACATGTAGGGTAGCCCAATAATCTCTGATATTGGGTTGTTTTATGGAAGGCCAAAATTGGTCTGCATGGCATCAAACTTAAAATGCCAGGAAAGTAACTTACAAATACACCAACATTGTCTTCATTAGATAAATATAACCATAATATATACATATATATACTTTTTGAGTTCTTTTTTATTATTGGTCATTTCAGTGTTATTGATATGAGCAAGAGTTTTTATCTGACCTGATATTTACCTTTTAGAATGTTTAAGAATTGTCTATAATTTTAGTTTTCTTTCAATCATGATTTTATGGATTTTGATCACATATTTACTTTTATCAGCTTTCATCTTTCTTAAATGTTAAGTCCTAGTGTTCTTAGACTCTTCTCAGGGAAGGATTATTAAAATGAACCTTTTTTCTCTTGAATCTGTTTTGCAGTGCATCAGCCAGAATCATATTTGTTATTTAAGTTTGAGCCAGTTGTTTTATAAAAGTTGTTGAAGAGAGTTTTTACAACTTTAAAAAATGAAACAAGTTTAAAGCTATTACTTTTTTTTTAAACTTTAAAAACTCTTCTAGTTAGCTCACTTTGTCATGTGTGATAGCCTAAATAACAAAAAATGTGAATTATAAGCATGTACCTCTGCTGTTATATATTTAAGACAGAAATAAATAACTGAAGTGCACATTTGTTTTGAGCTTCTGGAAACAGTGTCTCATTTATAAAGAAGATGGCTTTAAAAGGTTAGTTCCAGGGATAAGTATAATTCACTTATCACTAAAAGTAGCTTAAGGTAGAGGAAGTTTATTTGTTTTAAAGCAAGGTAAAAAATGTAAAACTGTTTAGTCTATTCCTCTTTAGTGTATAGTACAGTCTATTCAAATTGCATTTTAGTTTTGAACATTTTTTCTTCTTTTAGGTTTGGAGAATCACAGGTATTTCAAGTACAAAGATCACTGAATTTCTGCTAGTTGTTTTTGAATCTAGAAATGAGCCAGCTTGGAATGAATTTTTCTTTACTTGCTCCTTTTAGAGCAAGTTGTAATGTCACACTAAAGGAATTACATTTTCCGAGAAAGTCTCTGAAATGACAATGTTCTATAAAACAGCTGGCAATTTAACATATCACTGATTGGAAAGCATGCTAACTCCAGCTAGGTTGATAGCACAGAGCTACTGACTTGGAGAATGCCTGTCACTCCTGTGTTTGAATTGGCATCCCTGTTTCACTGTCAGTTGACCTAATCTGTTAAGATTATATACTTATGAACTATTAATGTTATGGTGTTTATCCATATACCTATTTGTAGATCACTGCATGGACTTATATTAAATCTTAAAATTTTTCACATGCTCAATAAGAGTCTTCATAAATTTTTCTTTCTCTGAAATTAGAAAGAGACTCCTTCAAATCCAGTGGCCACAGTGAAAGCAGAACGACAGTGGTGTGATGTGGGAATTTTTAAAAATAATACAGCTTTGGTGAGCCAGTTTTATTTGCTGCCAAAAGGGAAGCAAAGCATCTCAAAGGTAGCTATTGATATATTTTCTACACTGTGAGTTATAAACCTCAAGAATGAGATTTTTTTTTCTATAACTCTGATTCTTCTCACTTGAATGAGTGAAATTGAGATCCATCCAATATCTATAATTGAGAGTTCTGGAAATCAAATTATCTTGTATTCTTTGTTAAGAATCTTTTTATAGACTATATCACAAGCACATCATATAAAAAAATCTTAGAGATGGGTGTGGTGGTATGTGCCTATAATCCCTGCTATTTGGAAGGCTGAGGCAGGAGGATCACTTGAGCCCAGGAATTCGAGACTGTAGTGCACTATGATCGTGCCTGTGAATAGCCACTGCATTCTAGCCTGGGCAACATATCAAGACCCCCAGACCCCATCTCCAAAAAAAAAAAAAAAAATCTTATCCATTCATTAAGCTGGGTTTTGAATCATAAATAATCTAGTCTGACCAACACAGATAAGGATTTTTTTAAATATTTCTAATTTTGTTAACCAGTGTGTTTAGAGGATGGAACATGTTTTTTCTATTGAAATTTTTTTTATTCCTGATCTTACAATTAAAAAAATCTAAAAGCCCCTGTATGCTATTGAATACAATCTAATTTTCCCTGGATTCTGAAGCCCCTTAAAGAGGACTTCATATATATATGTGACTCTGTATGTGTTTATGTGTATGTGTTTATATAAATGACATAGATATGTAAATGAGACATTAACCTTCTAAAAATTATGAAATGGACAACAGCTCCAAAGCCAATATGCTTTGAAATAATTTTTTTCTGAGATGGAGAATTTCTGAGAGAGAATTGCCAAGGAAGTAGATACTCATTTTGAATCTCTTGAAGATATGCACAAATGGGAACTATATCATTTAGCATTCTATTTTAGTATTTCTACTATCACTTCTGGTATCCCTCTTTTTTATATTGAATTTTTCCAGTTCTTGACAAAAATAGAAATTCTAGTATTAGGTCTAGTGAAATTTCTTACTGTAGTTGGATTTCATATATGAGGACATATCCGTATCTGAGGGCCTAGTAGCTACCTGATTTTTCCTAAAAGAAAAAAAGAGCATAAAACTTATATTCAGTAAACGTGGTTTGAATCACTAGTTCCAGTACTCAGCAGTGTGACTTTGGCAAGTCACTTGTTTAACCTCTCATATGTTTCCTCAAAGTAGAATAACACATGGAAACTCAGTGTCTCACTGTGAAAGTTAGGGAAAATATGTAAAAATTGCTTAAAAGTTGTAAATGTTATTATCTTCCTTCTTAGAGTATATAATCTAATTATTCAGCTTAACATTTATTTAGTGTCTACTGAATATTAATTTTTTACACTTGATCGTAGCCAAAAGGCCAAGAAGTGATGAATATTAATTTTTAAAAATGCTCTATACTACATGCCAGTCACTCCTTTTCTGTCACGTTTGCTTGCCTATCTCTAAAGGATGTTGTTCCTGGCCAGACCATTAGTAAATCTTCTGAGATTTCTGCTCCAAGTTTACATGAGGGTGGAATAGTTGTTACTTTGTTTATAGTGGTTGTCAGTTTTTTTTCTACCTCCATGTTCTTCATATGCAGAATACTCTTACCTTTCTCTTTATAATTAGTGATTTTCAACTGGAAAGGACACTTTTCCTCTGGATAAAAATCACTCATTTATGAGCTTAGTTGCTTCTGTATTAGAAGCTTCATTCCATGTGTGAGAGAGGGAAATAAATGTGAACTAGAACCTTAAAACATAGTTCATTCTTTGAAAGCTTTGTTTAATGAAAATTAAATAATTTTTAAAAATTTAATAATAATAAATTAATTATATCTTTTCTTTGACTTTTGTATATATTACATTTTAGGTAGGAAATGCAGACGTACCTGACTACAGTTTACTTAAGAAACAAGATCTTGTTCCAGGCACAGGGTACAGATTCAGGGTTGCTGCAATCAATGGTTGTGGAATAGGCCCTTTCAGCAAAATCAGTGAATTTAAAACTTGTATTCCTGGTTTTCCTGGAGCTCCTTCTGCAGTCAGAATTTCAAAGGTGAGACATCAGGTCAAGACTTGTTGGTGACTTCAATTATTTGAAACTTTGTACATGAAGTAAACTTCAGTTTAGAAATTCTTGTTAGCATCTAATAAAATGAGATGTCTAAAAGGAATGGATTAAAAGCTTAAAAATTTTTTTTGCTAATCACTTATGATATTTTTGAGTAACAAATTTTAAACAGAATTACGGCATCCAAATCACAGAAAGGCAGGGAAATCTGGTATGCTTGTTTATTTGTTCTTGTTATGGAACTAGAAAGTTTGTGCTGGAGAATTTTAATAGAATTCATAAAATTGGATTGTATTTTATCCTAAGATCTTGCCCCTCCTTAGAGAAGAAAAGATTTGCTTTTAGGGAGGAAAAGTCCCCTTTTTGGGATATTATAGGCAGACATGTAAGCCTAGTTGTGTTTTTGAAAACTGAGCATGAATTATAGATCCAATTAAGGTGAGTTTTAAAAAATCAGCAATAAAAGATCTAACATCTAATGTAGTTACTTTAGTGAAAATGAGCATTTTGTGTTCTAAAGATAGATTCAACATAATAAGCGATAAAAGAGAAAACTTAAGAATCTTTCTCTGTTTTTTATCCCCCTCTTGAAGAATGTTGAGGGTATCCATCTTTCCTGGGAACCTCCAACTTCACCTTCTGGAAATATTTTGGAATATTCAGCCTACTTGGCTATCCGCACAGCACAGATACAAGATAATCCAAGTCAACTTGTGTTTATGAGGATTTATTGTGGTCTTAAAACATCATGTATAGTAACTGCTGGGCAACTTGCAAATGCACATATTGATTATACATCCAGGCCTGCTATTGTGTTCAGGATATCAGCAAAGAATGAAAAGGGATATGGACCGGCTACACAAGTTCGATGGCTTCAAGGTAACAATAAGAAAGCATCTTTAAATTGAATTGTTTTTTTACTGAAGCTATTGTAATGATGATTATTTATTAGTAACTGGTTATGAAGATTTGTCATTTAAAGGAGTATTCTCTGACTGTATTTCTAGCAGTTATGAATTTGAGTTTGTAAGTTGTTCTTAAAATGTATTTGCTCAATTCTAGATCCAAATAAAAATAGAAAAGAAGCAAAGACTCTGAAAATTAGTACATTGGCTCTTCCTTACAGGTATAGCTCTTTTATAAAGAAAAGTAGTAAAATTAAGATAAAAACTAGAAAGCTTTATTACCCCAATATCTTTTATAAAGCCTATGTAAACCAGTCATCCTAGAGTTATTGAGATGATTCTAGTAACTGGCTGTTGTACACTATGCTGTCATATAAAGTAAATATTCTCTACATTGTAAATTCCCTATCTTTGAGTATTCCTTATATCTTTATTCTATATGAGCAATGGTCTTCTAACAACTATCTTCTATTGGATAATATTTGTGATACTAATTTTAGTAGCCATTTGACTGTTCTGTTTGTTTACAGTTAGCACAAAGCTTAAGAAATTAAAAAAGAAAGAGACAAATTTAGAAACTCTGCTTTTGAAGTTTTTATTATTTTCCCAGAATCATGATAAAATACAAAAAAATAATGAGTTTTCTTGATTCTTATCAGGATGATATATTTGAATACATTTTTGGCCAAAGGCACTTAAACTTATTTGGCTCTCTTTTTCTTCACTGACAGATGAAGGAGTTATAATAGTTTACCTTTAAAGTCCCTTTCACCACTAAAATTTTGTATTTTCATTAGAAGTGAAGTATATCCCTGAACATTTTAATCTGTCCTAATGGCTCTAACTTTGCTTTTGCTAAAAGTAAAATCTTCATAATTTAAAATTCAAAATTAAAGTATATGTCCTCCTATTGCAGAAAGAAATAAGCACCTTAACAGGACACAAATTTTGAAATAGTGTTTTAAACATTTGTAAGATTTTTGTAAATGCTCTAAATGTTTTATTTTTGCATTGTTTTTACCTCAAAATTGTATAAACTTTTTTACAATGGAAATGTAAGCATTAGACAGCTAACTCAGGTTCCATTACAACCTTAAAGATACAGATAGGCATTATGAACACTCTGCTACAGGTAACTTGTTTTGAACCTTTTAGGAATTTCATGGTTCCACTGCCTATTCAAATCTGGAACGAAAATACAGAGCAATAATTGCAGAGAAGATATTTCAAACTAAGAGCTGCATACTGCAGGGGCACAAGTCTATCTTTTTTTATACCACATAACCTTATGCCAGTTTAGGTTGACTGAGTAGCTATGTCCTCAAATTTCCTGTATAGTACCCCCAGCAAAGATGGATTTAATTCTGCAGAATTGATATATATGTGTGTTCCAGTTACTAATTTAAAGTGTATAGAATATTTTAATATATAAATTTTGTAAAGAACTGGGATTTTTATACTACAGTATTTGTAATTAATGTGTCTCACTAATTTTCTCTTGAAGAAAATATGCAAACTGTTAGACACATAATGAGTGGTTTCTGAACTCTAAAGATAAAATAAATGCACTACTATGGTGTTGTTAGAATACCTTTTTTGTGGCTGTATGAATCTTTAATCTTTAAATGTGTACTTTACAATGTTTACAAGGAGCTTCTCTGGTTTGTTATCCCAGTAACGCCCTTGGTGAGAGCTTCATTCTGCATTTGTTTAACTCATATGCTTTGCTTTTGGCATATGCTTGCTTTTTGCACTAGTAGAATTTTAACTTACCTCATTGTTATGTTTGTAATCATTTGTCTAGCTTCTGTAACGTGTCTCATATAGGCTAAACAAATACTTAACCAAAGTTAAAATACATGGTAAGCAATTTTGCACATATTAAATGCTAGGGTTTGTTGTGTATATGTGTGTGCTTAGTCATAAAAAGAATAAGAATGGAAAGTTTTAGTAGGTATATGTTTCAAACCCAGTTATTTTAATGATCCATTTGCTTTAACAGAAAAAGTCTGGCTTTTAACCCCTTCTCTGTATTAATTAACAGTTTGCATCTTAAAGCACTTCTCTTAATGACAAAGAATTCGTAAATTTTAAGCAAAGGATAGAATATTTGAATGTGCACATCTATACCTATTTTAGTATTTGATTTAGTTTACTTTGCTTAAATGCCTCTATTGTTCTAGACCAGAAGTGAATATGAATCTGTGGCTCTAACATAATGACTTTTTAGAGTGAAGGACAGTCTTTCTGTACCAAGGAATTTGTTGAAATAATAAATGTAAAAGTAAAAAACATTGAGAATTAGCCCAGATTCTGATTTTTGGGCCATTTGTACCTTAAGCACCAGTCATATTATCTCCCTGATAAGGGACTGGTGACTGAAAAATGCCATTAAGAAATCTTTGTGGCTTTGACGTTAATAGTTAATATGAGATCTTAAAGTTGTGTGTTCATGAATAGAATGGATTGGGGTAAATAATAAGGGAAGTGCATTTAGCTTCTTATGATTTGCACATTTTCTAAGTGGCCATCCCTTTCTGTAGCAGTGAGCTATATCATGCAGCTATATCATGGGAGGACTTACAATGAGTTAAATTACTTTTTTTACTCTTCCCAGTTGGATAAGCAGTTCAGATGTAACAAGCCTTTGTGCCACAGTCCTCTTCCTGTGCTCTGCAATTTTGGTTCACATAAATAGTAAAAGTATTTTTGATGTTGCATGCTCTTAGAATTATGTTTTCTAAATATTGTATTGACTTCATTTTAGTTTAGTAAACTTTTTTGGCAATTTAATTAGAAATGGAATATATATAAACTCAATTCTATCTGCATTTTTTAAAAAAAATTGAAATAATCTGATTGCATGTATGAGGCACCCTTGCCCCATTACCCAGATACATAAATATAATCATCTATAGGAAGGTGAAACTGTTCATCCATTATTTCAAAAACTTATAGCCTAGCAAAGATTCATTCTGATTAGAGATATGGTCTACTATAACTAAAGATATTTTTATTTTAAAAAATTACAGCACTTGTAACATAAAAATCATTTGTAACATTGGATATGAAGAGATTATTAGTATTTAAAATTATTGTAGTCATCTGATCATAAATGAAGTAGATTGCAAAATAGACTTGGTCTTTGACCATTTAAGGTGTAACTGTTGTGTTTTCCAAGACTGATTTTAGGCAGTTTTATGTATCGTGTACCAATGATATGTAAAATAAAGCACCTTTTCTACTATAAACAATTATACAGGTGTTATTTATTTTGAATTATGTGAAAGAAGTGTTAGTGGTGGCAGAGTAAATTTGTAGAAATGTTGATTTTATTCATCTGAAATAACTTAGGCAGTCTTTGAAAACGGATTGTGTTTATAAACTTGTTTTTAAGATGGTGGATTGTGGTTGGGAGTCATTTTCTCCTAGAAATGTAAACCGTATCTAACTTTTATTGTACCTGAACTAATATGCTTCAACATAAAAAGGCAAATGGCTCCAAGAAATAGACTAAACTTGTTGCCACATTTACTTTTAAATATTTTTCTTCATGCTTTCACTCTTTTTAATTCACAGCACCAGGCTTCTGACCTGCTACTCCATTGAAATGGCTCTAGCAAAGGTCAAGGATAACCCCCCATTTCCCAAATCCAATGAACCTTTTCATTGTACTCAATCTCGTCACATGAAACTTTATCTGCTCCCTGGGCACTTCCACATTTCTGCAATGTCTGTGATACCATGCCTTATGTCTTTGTGCACCTCCTCCTGTCTGCAGTCCCCTTTTTCCACTCCCATCTGGCTCTTTTTTTAAGATTCAGGTCAAATGTTGTCAACCTGAAGAGGCCTTTCCTGACATACTCCACTGACAGGCAGATTTGACTGCTTGTTTTTGTGCTCCCACACTGTCCTTTGTTACATCTTCAGTCATAGCAGTCTAAAAACTTAGTGCCCTTATTTGTTAGCATTGTCCCTCTCCCTCTGCTAGGTGGTAGGTCTTCAAGGCAAAGTCTGGGTCTTTATACCCTTCCATATTAGCCAGTTAACTGATACTTAAATGTTTTAACAGTGAGTAAAGAATGTCACCTTTACAACTCTTCATATTCCTACTCCCTACTCTCAAACGGGTCAAAATGGGAGAGAGGCTTTGAAAGGGAAAGAGACTTTTGTGGATTTGGTAAGAAATATAAACTCTTTAGCTTTGTCTTACCCTACCTACTCTGTTACTGTTATACTTAGGTTCCTAAGAGAAGTTCTGGGATAAAAAAGGGATTTAATATAGTGGCATATAGATCTCAAGAGGTCTTTGATTTAAAAAGATCTTAGCATTTGATGAGATTGGTAGGCATTGCTGGATTATTTAACATTGGATGATCAAAATGAGCTAAAAATATGTCAAAAGTTAGTCTGTTATCTGACACTAGAAACAACTTACCTATTTAAGCACAGGGAAGTGCTGGACAACATGGACACCAGGATTGGAACTGAGTTGGATTCTTATTAATACATATCAAGTCAGGTCACTGTTGTTACCTCTGAGCTTACAGGGCAAAAGATTCTTACACTCAGAAAAACAAATGATATTGGGAAACCTCCCTTCTAAGTTTTCCAGTTATAGTTGTGAGTCCCTAGATTTACATATATTTTTGTAACTCCAGAAAAGGTATATTTTGATCATGCCTAGAAAAACATGAACTATAAAATTTTGGGAGAAAAACAAAAAAATTCTGTAAATTGAACACAGACAAGGCTATAAAATCCGAGGATACCAGCCTCCTTGTTCAAAATAGATTTCCATGTCTTAGTATTAGTTTGCTTCTCTCCTGTCCTCTGCAGAACTAATATCAAGAAAATGTCCCTTTGTGGGCCTATTAATCTCAGCAGGGGGTATCTGAAACTGAGTGTGAAGTTCTTTTGTTTTATATATTTGGTATTTTGGATAAATTGAATTGAGCAAGGGCCTGCTACTTAAAGATCATCAAACTCTTAATCTGGTTACTGTTCCTGCCAATACCTCAAATTCAAAAGTCTTGAGAATACAGAGTTATAAAGCCTTTGACCTTGGATCAAGAGAAGGCTAGGAAGTCATAGGGATGAAGCTGTGAAGGCTACGGAAGTATTCCTTATTTACTGATTTCATTTTGCTTGTTGAACCAAGGTCTTTGAAGAGTACCTAGAGATGTCAGGATGTTTACATATAATTCTTGAAAATAAAAATACAGAAAGTAAGAACTGGTGGTATATCAGATATGGAAGTTCTTAAGGGAAGGAATGGCCCCCATCCTACCAACTCCCCTTCATGGTCTCCCAACTACCCAGAAACAAGAAGCCGAAGGATACGTCATTCCTGAGCTTGAGAATTGAGGAAGGCACAAGAAGAGCCCTTTGTGTCTGAGCATATTCAGGTTAAAAGTAAAAGGTAGCAGCTGGTGTTTGTTTTTGAACATAGAATAACCCTGTCCACTAGTAAATCATGGTCCAACAAATGTGCAGCTTCAACCAAGAGGATTATCCATTCCTCTTCCTCCCTGAGAAGACAGAGTGGAAGTTCTCTAAGAAACTTAAGAAGACTTCCCTCCTAATTTCTATTTTCATATTGGGAAAGGAGCAAAAAGCTACAGGTATAATACTTACGCAACATATCAAAGCATAGCATGTAAGTGAGTGGGCAAAGTTCAGAAGATCCAAGGGCTTGATTCAAAAGCATCCTACAGTTGCAGTTTAGCACCCCCTGGTGGCTCTATCCATTCCAGCTTCACTATGGTTAAGATTCTAGGTCTTAACAGCTGCTAGGATTTTAAAAATAGCTACAGCAATACCTGGAACTTTGTGGTGTGTCCCCACCTTTGCGTTAGACCCAGTTGGGAAGATTTGACCCTGAGAATACACTTTCTACTTTCTTGCAACTCCCTAAGCCAAGATTATAACTTTAACCTATACCATTTAGGTATAGGGAATAGAGTGTTTCAAATCTGTTTCATGTTTGAGGATTTTTTAATTTTATACCAAAATTTCCAGCTAATTCCCTGGATCAGGAAAAATTACACCTTAACTGTTTCTTGTCTAACACATTAACTTCAATGTGAGTTTTATTTAACTCATGCTAGTTGTGAGCCAGGGGCCTCGTGAAGCATTATGTAACTCACATGTCTCTTCACTTTGGGAGCTGCAAGAACTATTTTTCAAGTTGTTTGTAATTCATACACACAAAATAATAAAAAGTAAAAATTTTTTCATTAAATTAGAAGGATTGCTTTGTTTTCAAAATTTTTATTCTATTTTCATAAAAAAAAAAAAAAAAACTGTAGCCCCAAGGAAAAACATTTTTTTTTTCTGGTGTGGCGGTCAATGTGTTAAGTCTGCAGAATATTACTGACATTCATGACCTTGGCAAAGACGTGATTACAAATTGCTATGACATTTGTGTGACAAGCAAGGCACCTGTTATTGATCAAATGGAGAAAGTCAGTTGCTGCCAAGCACCTTCCGTATTTTCAGAATACTTACCACATTATTAGGAGGATGTACCAGAGGGAATTTTGTATGTTTGAAAGTCAATATTGAAAGTCAACAGACTTCAGTAAAGAGGTGTTGTCTGTCAGTTTATTTGGGTTTTACATCACCTATCATTTCATTATCTGCTTTATACCAGTAATTATACCCAGAGAACAAAGTGACCAATTAACTAGAGTCATGCCAGTGACTCCTAGCCAACTTGCAAGAGCAATGCTATAATATTCCCATCTTGTTGGATCTTGATCCTCTGGGAATCTAGTTAGTTTCTGTGAGAAATAGACCATACTTGTTTCTTTTTTCATATTATGTACTTCTTCCCCATTATTATTAATATAATTGGCTGATTTGCATAGCACAGCAGTGGCCGAGATATCACATATTCCCTCTTCGTTGATGAAAACATATATTACATAACCTTATATTTTTCTTTTAAAATATTTGTTGTGAAAAATACATATAAAAGTATATAAAGTATATGTATGGTTTGAAAAATAAAATAATCACTCATGTACTCAATCTTCAGTTTAAGGACTAGAACATTCTCAGCAGCCTAGACTCTCCCATTTGTCTTCCTGCCATACACACTACACATGGTAAATGTTCTTCTGGATTTTTTGTTAATAATTCCCACGTTTTTATTTGTGGCTCTACCATCTACGTATGTATCCGTAATAAAATGTTGTATAGATTTACCTGTTTTTGAACTTTTACGTAAAGGGAATCATGCTGTATGTATTCTTCTGTGATCTCTTTTTTCTGATATTGTTTTTGAGATTCTCATCTATGTTATGCATGTAATTGTATTTCATTTTTTCACGGCTGTATAGTATTATGTGACTATTTAACAATTTATCCATTCTATTTATGGAGATTTGGATTGTTTTCAGTTTTTTGCTATTACAAACAATGCTGCTGTGAACGTTCTGTCCAATTCATTGTAAGCACTGTGTGGGCTGGGTTTTGTCTGTTTTGTTCTCTGCCGTATGTCTAGAACAATGCCTGACACCGGATAGATGCTCAATAAATATTTGAGGAATGAATGACTTCTTGTTCCTGTCTCCTGGTGCACTTGGACAACAGTTGCTCTAGGACAGTTGTTCTTAAAGTATGGTCCAGGGACTTTTGGGAGTCCCTGAGACCCTTTCAGGGGATCTGTGAGGACAAAACTATTTTCATAATAATACTGAGACATTATTTGTTTCACTCTCATTTTTTCACAAGTTTAAATATTTTCCAGATATATGCCATCATCACTCTGACAGCTAATCAAGTATGCTTGCATATTTTTGTTTTTAAAATGTCTAAATTTTAATTTCTAATATGGTAAATATTGATAGATATAACCCACACGAACAGCTCTTTGAAGTCCTCAGTAAATTTTAAGGTTATAAAGAAGTTCTGAGACCAAAACTTTGAGAACTGCTGCTCTAGGGAGTGGGTTTTATTTGGTAATGCTGAATTGTTTTCTTAAGTATTTGTACCAATTTACACTCCAACTCATGGTGGCTGAGTATTTCCATGGCTCCACATCTTGGCAAACACTTGAACTTGACTGTCTTTAATATTTGCCAATTTGATGGTTATTATATAGTATCTTATTGTAGGTTTAATTTGCATTTCCCTGATTACTAATGAAGTTGAGTGTGTTTTTCATATATGGGTCTCTCATATTTCCTCTTCTGTGAAATACTTATTCATGTCTTTAGCCCATTTTTCTATTAGGTTGCATGT